GGTACATTAACAAATAAGTCTTCTGATTATCTAACTTGGTAATTGAATCCTCGTGCCGCCACATATATAATGATGCTTCATTTCACATAATATTGCAGGTATTACAGAGTGAGTGCTGGATTTAGTCATTTTCTCATGTGCTTCTGGATTTCTAGGTAACTACAATTTTAGCTATTTAGATTTGTTATCCTACATATAAAAAACTGACCTATACTGTTTTACATTTTTAATTTTCCTTTCACATATTGGTCCTCTTGCAGGATACATGTTCTCTGCAGTTCCAGGGCAGGTATGTTAAGATATGCCAAAGCAATATTCAAAGAGGATTATAGATTCCTGCCTTGTCATCCCTTGCAGTTTTGACTACAATTCAGTATCCACCTTTACAGACCGACCGTTGGTTTGGTACCAGTATGTTGAGCCAGGGATATCCGCCACCTTAGTGGAGAGGTCCCAAAGGACCATCATACAAAGGTCAGATTATATCCTTTTACACAAAGACACATCAGGTACGTTCACTCAGGGAGGGGCGGAGACAGGAACGTTCAATGATCACGTACAACAACTTATTATTGTATAAAATGAGCACAAAGGGTTGGCACAAAAATTAAATAGGAATAATGGGAGCCCCTGGAAACAACGGGAGAATCAGGCTTGACGGCATTACCGGCAATGGAGGAGGGGTGGACAGGGAGAGGACGTCCAGAAAGACAAAGACGCACTCCACTCACCACAGCAATACGGTGATGTGCAACACAAATAAAAATCTGAACTGGGGATCAAACACCAGTGATCACACCCACCCCGAGGAACCACCACCACCACCGTCAAGGTTTCAGCTCTAGGGGAGATAAGAGGCACAGTTAGGAGGAACTTATAGTTAAAGAAAACACCAAATATACCCATAACATAATCCAAAATGTATGATGATCAATTAATAAGCTACAGAGTAATAATTCAATTAAATCCGGAAGAATTAAACCAAAGAAAAAAAAATTCAAGAGAAAATTTCTCTGGCCAGAGATATACCCTAACTCAACACCGTTAACATGAGATTAATCCGGTTGAACAAAAATAAAGGAGAGTTCCCCTCCAAATGGAAATTAACATAATCTAATTTTTATATCTATCTATTATCATATCATATCTACATCTAATCACATCTATCCAATCTATCTATCATATCTATCCACTAGCAAGAATCTCTTCAGGTCATGTGTGTGTGTGTGTCGCTCAAATATCTCTCAAGATTCAGGAATCAGACTGACCTGAGACATCGGCTCAAACAATGGCATGACTGTGTGTTTAAGAGTGTGCAACGTCGCTATTGTTTGGAACTACAAACATACAGATTAATAAATTATTTCATTAAATGAATATCCGCTAATTCCGTAGCATTGCCAACGATTAGCCAACCATACGCACCGTGCAGACCAGAGCCAATCACTGCAGAACCCGTGTTGAAGGTGTTTTCCCAGTTGTCTATTACCCCGTCAATCTAAAACCGCAGACAACTTTTAGATCATAATGGATGCTTGTATCTAATAAATGTGTATGATTGAGAGTCCTCGACCCACAAAACAATCCTGAGAAAGTGACGAAGTACGTTTTTCACTCTAAATTACAACAATTAATTACATAATAATCACCGCAGTAAATAACGTTATCTGACTCCCTCACTCGCAGACGAGAAATGTTTTAACACTCGCGAGTTTTCCCAGCGTTGTCGGTACAAACAAAAAGATCTTCTGATACATAACTTGGTAATAATCCTCGTGCCGCCACAATAATATGATGCTCATTTCACATATATTGCAGGTATACAAGATGTCTGGATTTAGTCATTTTCTCCTGTGCTTCTGGATTCTAGGTACTACAATTTTTTGCTATTTAGATTTGTTAATCCTACATATAAAAACTGACCTAACTGTTTTACATTTTTAATTTTCCTTTCACATATTGGTCCTCTTGCAGGATACATGTTCTGCAGTTCCAGGGCATGGTATGTTAAGATGCCAAGCAATATCAAAGGATTAGTAGATTCCTGCCTTGTCATCCCTTGCAGTTTTGACTACAATCAGTATCCACCTTACAGACCAGACCGTGTGGTTTGGTACCAGTATGTGAGCCAGGGATATCCTTTGGTTTATGACAGGTGGTACCCAGAAGAAGTCATTAAAACATTTAGAGGTAGAACACGCTTATTTTCTCCCGCATACAAGACATGCAGTCTTGAAATCTCTCGAGTGAAGTGGTCTGACCACAGACAGAAGATTTACCCCTGGGTAGATCCAGAGAATGTCGGAAAAAGCACCTATCGATTCTTTGACACAACTGTAACAATTGAAGTAGTGGGTAAGTTATCATAGTGAGCTTAGAAAAAGATACGTTTTTAGATGTATATTTGTATATTCATTTCAATAAACAATATTTTTCTTTTGTTAAGACAGGGCAGAGATGCCACATATTATGATCTTTGGTGAAAGGAAGGTTGGACAGCCTGTGACAGTGCAGTGCACTGTTTATCACACCTGTCCCACTTATCCACCTACTCTGAGTCTCAACGGCAGAACACAAGGCACTGGTATAACTCATAGCTCAATGTCTGATGGCACATCCAGAACTACCTTGACGGTCACACTGAACATAGAGAGAGACCTCCAAACTGTGATGTGCATGGTCCGACACAAAAGTGGTCACAGCGAAACAGCCTCTGTAACCTTAATTTCTGAATGTACGTGACGGGCACGCAAGAATAAAACAAGTTTTTCTTTTTCTTTTTATATTGAAATTTTAACATTCATCATTTGTGTCTCAGGCTCCTTTTTACCCCTGACCATCACAACTACAACAGACGAATTTCTTGAGGGACAGCCAAGTAAAGTAACCTGCAATGCTGTGTACACATGCCCAAAACATATACCAACTTTCAAGTGGAACTATGGTAGCATGCCAACCTCCACTGATACCATAAAGAGTCAAAGTGCTCAGTGGAAGACCGTCTCCACACTGACATTCACAGCATCGGCCAAAGACCATGGAAGGTCTCTGACATGCTCTGCACAATTCACTGGGGGTCCGAGGCAGGAAGCGAGCATCACCCTACGGGTAAAGAGTGAGTACGGATAATAATAATTTTATTTAACAACTAAACCTTACTAATGTATAGCCTTTATACCAGAACAGCCCTAAATCTCACCATTAAATGCTGCAATAGAACTGAAACATATTTTGATAACATTTTGCCAACTATCTGGTAGGTAGTGTTGAGTTTTGTTTCTGTTTTAAAAAAAATTCCACAGCACTGGCTTGTTTACCACAATAGTTTCCAGCATGCGGTGTCAAAAAGACAACTGACCATTCCTAATTCCAGCAACAGCTGAGCAACCCTCTAGCTACAAGCTATCTAGCACACTCACTAACGGTTTATGTAAAGCAACTTGCTTGTTGTAATGCAAATTTGTTTTTAGTCTTTTCAACATAGTCAAGTCTAGCACATAGCATATCCAAGTACATACAGGAGAACAGAAAGTTTACCGAGGTTCTGGCCGAGGCTTGCTCTACTGTTATTGGAGCACAGAGCATGAAGGGGCGGGGCTTAGGAAAGCTCAATTGAAAGGAAGATTAAAAAAAATTATATACTTCTATTACACAAAATTATTTATTTTTTAATTAAAAAAAAAAAAAATGAAATGCTTGATCTTTGAAATTTGGGCATAGTACTGTTTTGACGAACTGCTTATAAAATGTTGTCACAAAATTAAACCAGCTATGGTTGCTCTTTTTATATCAAATGAGTATGTGTAGTGTGAATGGCATTGCTCGTGGTGACAAACCCACAGATAATTAGCACCAGCTTGTTATTTTCAGCCACAGATTGCAGATGCATTGCTTTAGCTTTAAAAACTCACTGTGCTCTCTTTGCAATTGCAGAGAAGACACAGTGATTAACTAACACATGAGCAAAGTGGAGCATTTAGCAGCTAAAGAGCCAAATATATCTCTGAGGACTAAAACAGAACTAAAAGGAGAGTAAATATTGTTCTTATATTACGTATCGTCCTTACTGCTTGCTTACATGTTAACCCTAATTGTTGCATCTGGGGTCTCAGATAGACATTGCTTTATTTTAAAGGGTCACAAGCCAGAAAGGTTGTGAACAAAGATCTGCAACTTTGCTTAAGTTGTTTCCTCTTTATTACAGGAAATATGCTCTCTCGTGGTTGGTCCTTCACCACCCCTAGCAGCATCACAGGCATGAGAGGCTCCTGTATCGTCATTCCTTGTAGATTCACCTACAGTATCTCCCAGCCTGCTGACCTCCAGGTTATATGGTACTTGTTCCAGAGCAATGGATACCCATCTGTTTTTGACCTAAAACAGAATGTTATTAGCAGGTATAGTGGGATAACTAGCTTGATTGGATCTGTGGGGGAGAGGAATTGTAGTCTTAAGATTGAGAGGTTGGAGATGACACACAACCAGGACAGACTTTACCCTTGGGTAGACAAGAACCCTATTACCTCCTACCACACCCTGGGCCACACGTTTTATGACAAAACCTCTCAAATTATTGTTTTAGGTAAGCATTTGGATACATTAATTGTCAATTTTAGTTATTTACACTTTAAAATATGCAATTCTCCAAATTAATTGCTTTGATTTCATAGAGCATGCACAGGAACCGCAGCTTAGCATCACTGGTATTCCAAGGGTGGGAGAGCAGAGCAGAGTGTCCTGCACTGTGCGCCATACATGTATCTCTGCTCCCCCGATCCTGGCCCTGAATGGTAGAACTGGAGCAGACCAAATTATGGACACTCTGGTATCTGATGGGATTTGGGAAAGGAAAGTAGAGCGAATCTGGACTGTAGAAGAGGAGGACCAGAGTGTGAAGTGCACTGTTAGCTACCATGGTGGTCAGACAGCCACAAGTGAGCTCAGGCTGAATGTTGAATGTGAGTACAATACAAGACCACGTGTTACTGGAATTAAAATGTTTACATATAAGACTCACTATCACGTTTCTGCTTAGGTCCGTATGAAAAAATCAAAATGACTGAGAAGCCAGGCGAGGCAACGGAGGGTGTGGCAAAGAGTGTAATCTGTTCTGTTTCGTATAAGTGCAAGAAAAATACGCCAACCATCGTGTGGAACTACAAAGACATGCAGAGTTCGTTACAGACCAGAAAGATCTCCAGCAATACTTATAATGCTGTGTCAAATCTAACCTTTATTGGCACTCTTGGGGATGACAATAATTCTTTGACTTGCACCGCTCAGTTTATTACTGGAGAGACCTCAGACTCTGCAACCATTCATATAAAAAGTGAGTTCCTACAAGTCATACACAGTGATCACTCAAAGCTATAGTTAATGTCCATACATTATCTGTCCATAATGACGTGTTATATCACCTTTGTTCATCAGTACAAAAGCTTAAGTGCAAAAGCAGTAAAGTGCAAAATGTCAAATTTTTGCTCTATGATAAAATAACATTCGAAGATTTTATTGATAATTGCTTGCTACCATTTTTTCCAGAATATGAGAAACCAGTTGAAGAAGTAGATCCGCATGAAAATGACAGTGGGTGTACCTTTCAGTTCTCTCCAAACTCATCTTGCTGCCGTGTTACGTCACAAGTGGACTGATTTCTACAGGCATGCCATCATGGCTTGTTTCTCTCTTTACAGCATTCCACGTTCTCGCTGCTGACGTCCCTTTCAGATTCAGCGCCCTGACCCGCTCCTGTGTGGTGATTCCCTGCAGCTTCCAGTTCCAGGAGGATGTGCCTCTCACACGTGGCATCTGGTCCAAAAAAAACGGGGGCATCGTCTTCCATAACGGCCAGAGCCGAGTGCTTGACCACTTCAAAGGCCGCACAAAAATATTAGGAGATCTGAGTGAAGGAAACTGTACATTAGAGATTGATGACATCAAACCCTTTGACAATGGGCCCTTCTGTTTCCATGCAGAGAAAGGAAATGACAAATACAGATTCAACAATAGCTGTGTATTTATTGTTATGAAAGGTCTGGAATCATTCGTATTCAACTTCTTTAAATGTGCCAAGCTATTTACTTGTATGCTTTCTAATCACCAACAGTACTCTGTTTTGTATTTCACATTTTCAGCTTCCCCAGAAAAACCAGTGATGACCCCAGTTCCAGCAGAAGTCGATGCTGGCTCAACGATTACTGTCTCGTGTTCTGTGACGCACACATGTCCATCACATCCTCCAGTGGTCTCATGGAGTGTCCCTAGCCTCACCAGTGAGGTCATACACACCTCAATGCAGCAGGGCATCTGGCAGACAACCTCCACCATCAGTTTCATGGTTGCAGGAGGTGACGGGGTCAAAAACCTAACTTGTACTGCAATCTCCTGGCGTGACAAGCAACAAGCCAACACAGTAAAGCTGACTGTAAAGGGTTAGACCACATAATTCTTCTGTTCTGTATATGTCCTGTACAGAAGCGTATTGCCACCACGTCAGAAAACAACGTTTTTCACGTGAAAACAGCTATTTTCATGTTATTATGACATACAAACTTATCACGTTATACAAGAAACTTTTCTTATTATAACAATATACTATGTATCCTGTTATAACAGTTTAATTTACATTGTTATAACAGCACATTATAACAATATATGATTACACAATAACACATAATAGCATGAAACATTTAATAAGTTTACATTACATTATAACACATTATAGCATGATAAGCTTGTGTGTCACAATAACATGAAAATTGTGTTTTAACGTGAATAATATCCTGTTATAACAAGAAACTTTTTTTACTTTTCGCATTTGCTTTTGGTTTTCTGGCATGGCAATACCCTGATGTAGCCTTGCAATTATATCATACATTGAGTTGTGTGTTTTCCTGAATGTATTTGCATGAGCGTCAAATATTCCTACATCACCAGGATCACTAATGTACCAGTTAAGAAGCTCTCTACCAGTATCCATTCCAGTGTCAATTCTCCTGATTGCAATCATCCTAGCTGCAGTGTTTGGAGTGTTCATTTATAGGAAAAGGTAGTGTAAATACACCTACATTCAAAAAGTGCCAATGTTTCAGATGGGTATTAATAAAAATGCTTTTAATGCTATTAGCTGAATGTAGTAAAGTAAAATTCGACATTTATCAATTAATGTTTTATTCAACCTACAGGAAGCGCACTGACGACTCGCCACCACCTCGACCAGAGAAAAGGTATGTAGGTAGGAATGCATAATGAGTAATGATGACGTAACTGATGACTAGGTTTCAGTCTAGAGTCTAGAAACACTTCACGCTTCAAAGAAATGAACATTTATAACAAATGGTTACTGTACACAGTTATATGTAGCGGTCAAGGCTCTGTTCTTTGATGTTGAATCTGAGGAGCATTAAGGATTATTAGAAATAATCCCCCTTTAACAAATATAAATAAACACTAGACCTTAGTTACATCAACAATACCAAATATTGCACATAAGGAGCTTCAGCATAATTACAGCAATGGTAAAAAAAAAGATCGCTTTAATGATTGTGAAGCAAGGAAGAAAACAACTGATGCTATTCATTAGTGCACACATGCTGTATTTCCAGCAAAACACAATGTAAATCTCTGCAATTCAAACTTTCACAGGAGATCACTATGGGATAGATTATCCAGGTAAGCTTTACAAAAAACTGCCTTAAGACCAGTTTCATTTGATAAAGTCAGTCATGAGCTGTAATCTTACTTGGGTGTCTTACTTAAAATAATTCCTCTTAATCCAAATGTCCAGGAGATACCCTGAAGGCAGGGAAAGACCCTCAAGGCCGGAAAAACGGTTCGTCAGCAGACTGCTTGTTTGTTTCAAACTGGAAAAATAAAGTCCGCTTTTTCTGACAAATAGTAACACTTTGCTTTCCATACAGGGGGTCCATTTGGAGTCGATTCTCCCGGTAAGAACACCCAACTGTTAACATTCGCTTTAAATCCCCAGATGAAGTGCCTTGTGTTTACATTTCTAACTTTTTCAGGGGAACAAGGGACGACGGTGTCGAGTGGCAAAATGAGAGGAGACCCAGGTGGGTGTTCCTCTGTGCTGTTGGCTTTAGATTTTACCATTCAAGCTGTTACAGTTTCTTTCTAACACTTTAATACTTAATTGACGTCATTCTTATAGGAAGTCATTCTGGAGCAGATTTTCAAGGTACCAGTTTTAACCTTCTGTTACATTATTAATTAATGTGAAGAAATACCCGAAATATAAATGAATGCAAATAAAATATTTTTATACTTGCAGACGCCAAGATGACACTGTGAACCTCAATGTTGGCTACTCGTAAGTGTCTATCAGTGGCCCTCTCCTACATCAAATGGCCCTAATTGTTTAGCACAATAACTGATATTGTGTGATTCCCTCTCTAAACTATAGACACAACAGCACCGCTGTCAAATGTGACACTCAATTCTCCAAACAACGCTTTCCATCCCCGAAGGAGTGAGTTTTACACAGCTGTCCTTTTACTCTTTTAACTGACGCATTGTTTCATTAGGTTGTACATTAATTATCCACTTCCTTTTATATATCTGTTTGATCTAGAAACCGGAGACCTCCTCGCTCTGCCAGGCCTGAGGTTAGTAGTGCTGTGGTGAGTGGGAATAAATATGATGTAAAAGAGTAGGTTCTCATCTCATGTTCTCCACTACCCATTAGGTTATAAGTGCTGAGTCTAACTAGATTCTTGAGGACATTTCGCCTCTCATCCAAAACGCGACTGAAGTTCTGAATTAAGGTGTCAGTATGATTCTATTCAAGTGCTTGTTGGATGGTTGATGCCTGAAACCACCCCCTCCCCTTACAGATTCCTCAGGTTGGAATTGGGCCAATCTTACATTTTTATTTACTTTCCAAAACCAATAATCCAAAACCACTTCCTTTGGATAAGAGTTAAAACGTCTTCAATAATCCTGTCACTTAGCACTTTTAAGTTCCTGTGGGTAGTTTGAAATAATTAAGTAATATCCATATTGCAGCACTGCTGTTTGTTATAACATGACGAGGACTGCCAGCAATACATTTATGCACTGCCTTCCAGTATACTGTGTCTTTTATTTTGTGAAACATAAAACAGAAAGCTGCAGAGGACAATTGGAGATTGTAACTGATTCAAGTTTCCCTCAATTTGTTGCAGGATAGCCTGTATGGCAACATTTAAGTTCTTCGAGATATCTTGCAAACATCTCGTGCTTCCAGGACCATGTTGCTGTTATCATTTTACATTCATATACATGCTTAACATTACATGCTTGTTTGTGTGTGGGAGAAGTGATGTCGGTCTTGTATTAAAACAATTTACTCACTCATAAAATATATCAATATAAAATATATCAGCTGTCGCTTAACTCAATTTGTGCACCTGTTAAATAAACATAATAAATACTTACTACAAACTCTACTGTGATTTGATTATTTTTTTCTCTAAACACTTACTATTGTATTACAGGTCAAGCAAAAACATCACAGACAGCAGACTTCAAGGATTCATAAAATGTACTTTTACACACATTATCACATTATAAAGGGTGGTTTTAAAGAAAACATTTCACATTTGTTCTTACTTGTGAGTAGTGAATGTATCATACAATAGCTCCACTATTGAAAACAAAACATACATACATTGAAATACAGCGGGAAATAATTCTGTGTGAGTGTTAACGCAAGGAATATAGGAATGGAGAACTTCCCTACAACATCCAAATTAAAATCTCACCATCCATGCAGAATTATCCCATTTAAATCCACAATTCTTTTGTATTTAAGCTGTAATTAAAGAATCCATAAACAAAAGTCAAAATTTCCAATTATATTCATTGTTTTTAGTAGAGAAAAAAAAACCTTTTCTTGAACGGTATTGAGGATTTCATAAACTGCCTGTTATATAACATTTGTCCACTAGATGGGGGTACACTGCTTATAGTTATTTCCCACAAAGCGTCCCCATCTTCATATGACAGTTGTATATCACAAATACGAAGTTAGAAATGGGAACAGACTGAACAATTGAGTTATGACAGACTTCATAAGCTAACAAGGTTAACATGGGACTGCCATATATTTTACAGTCACATTTTCTTGCCTGCACTAAATCTAAAAACATTTAGAAATAAACTTTCTCTGAATCATCCTAGAGACACTACAGGTGAATAGGGTAAATATCTATCTAATAGATCTGAATAGGAAACTTCCCTAGTTGAATACATAGATTAAGACAATTCATTTTTGTGTTACAAGTTTTCTGAAGTTTTATGTTTACATATGCAAAAGATGAATTGTTGATGAACGCTAAATTGTGGTGGATTTTGGAGAATTTTACACACACAAATGGGCAAAGTGTGCCAATTTTAGAACTGTATCATTCTAATCACTTAGTTGTCAGTGTGATTTCTGTCATAATATAGACCCTCAACAAGAGATTCTCATGGCTTGATTCCATTAGTTTTGTCCTTTGTTCATATCATAGTTTAGCATTGCTCTGTATCTGTCTGTCTTTTTCTTGTTTGGTGCAGTTTACCTTCTCTAGTTAAATGCCTTAAGTTGTTTCTGGGTTAAAATAAATAACAGTATTTGTACTACTATTATGAAGGCTAAATATCAGAACTGTAAGTGTGACAGATAGAATAATGTTTAATACCAGCAAGTCAGAGCAAGTAATAGAGGAACTATTAATGGGCACATCTTCTTCAATCTTTTCACTCTTTTTTTATATACAATTTTCATGTTATATCGTAGTTTATGGTTATAATGGTTATTGTGCACTGCAGCAGTTACAGCACAGTACCTTCCTGTTTTCTTATGTTTTATGTGCCAAACGTCTAACACCAGCTAGTAAGAGTGGTTTTAGTTACCAGTGGTCTCCTGCAGGGGGGTGCAAAAATGTTGAGCTATGTTACGGTGCACCTGTCCATGTATCTTTTATTCAAATACTCCCAGAAGTGAGGCTGGTGTCCCAAAACGGAGGAAGAAACCCCACTTCAATCATCCCATGAAAGTAACCCAGCTGGCAGAGAGTGGGTCTACAACTCAGTCTATGTAGGTCATAAAGAGAGGCATCAGTATTAAATTAAGATCATTTCATAATGAGTTAAAAACTTCTTTTAGCAGGTCTAAACTGGTAAAACTCTTCACGAGACTTCAACCAAGGTTATATGTATGAGATTTTGAACAATAATATAGCAGAAAACAGCATAAACTTAAAGGTTTAAGTTAAGTTACATTTGTATTTTAAATTTTTAAATAAGACTGAGAAAGGACAAAAAAACTACACTAAGAAGAATTGTAAGAAATTTATTTATTTTGCTTTTCATCAGTAACATCAAAATATTTCAGGTTTCAGGTTAATATTAGCACACAGATGAAAAATTGCGCATCAACGTGTTTTTTACATTCTTCAAAAAAACAGATAGCAATTATTCTATGCAAGACCTTTGCTCTTATCTTTATAGGCAACATGCAAATAATAATAATAATAATAATAATAATAATAATAAATAAGCCAGTTACAAACTGTATAAGGCAGGAAACAAAGGGAAATTATAACTTTACTAAATTCTATTTTTACACTAAACTTGCAAAACGTTCTACTCTCTCACTCATCGGTTGAAAGGATAAGGAAAAGGGTGTGAGCACTATGAGGCTATGTGAAGATAAGAAAAAATAAGCTGCAATGCTGCCGTCTCCACCAGTTAGAGAACGCATGCAGAGAGATCAGTGGTTGTCACCAGAGCAGGAGCAGCCAGTTGTGCTGCTGGCGCTGTTGCAGTAGTCACCCTCGCAGCAGCTAATGTCTCCTCCAATGACTGCTTTAAACTGTGTATTTTTCGTATTTGAGCAGATCTGCTTGGAGGCACAGCCCTTTGTGATTATCGTTTCACCTCCTACATTCACTGAGAGAATGAAAATAATGTTAGTGTGTGAGCTTAAAGTTTTAATACATCTGCTTGAATCACAAAAAATCGCTCAGAGCTGTGGAAAGGTTGGAAAGAGAGAGATGTGTAGGCCTGATACCTGTTTTTGAGATGCAGTGGTCCTCATTCCCCAAGCAGTTTACAGTTGCAGTGCACACCTTTCCATTGCAGTGAAAGCACTTTTTTCCATTGGGTTCAGATTCGCTGGGCTCTGTAACATAAAACACACATTGTTCATATTGATTAAGAAAGTCGAGTGGGGTAGAGAGGTGACTGTAATGCACTTTTACTGTCAATAAATTATAGTTTTTTGATTTTGAAATGCAAGGAAATTATGGGAACATGATTTGCGTATAAAACAAGATTAACTTGAACCTGGAGACTCTCTCTCACAAACACACACACACAAACACACACACATCCACACACACACACACACATACAGGTACAGTGGCAGCTGGAAGTATTATGCCCTTGGGCTCCTCTATAGCAGATGGTAATTTCCCTCATCCTGGATCGTCTTGGAATTTGAAACTTTTTTCTCTAATAATATCTGTTCCAAACATATTGTCTCAAGTTCTGATACATGGACTTCATCATCAGTCCACAATACTTACATTAACAATAAAGACATGGCACAAGACATGATTATACAACTTATATACAGTATTGAATACAATGTAATATACATATACAAAAACAGCTCTCAGTGCATCTAAATAGAAATAGACAATATAAGTAAGTTACCAGGAGCAGTTTCGGTGTTGCAGAGATTGTCGTTGCAACACTTGCTGGTAATCATATTTCTGGTAAGTCCAAAGTTGACTGAGCTCTGAGCACAGTCTTCATTCAAAAGACAAGTTTTCATGTGGATATCAGAAAGTTTTGAACCACCTGCAACAAAAGAGTAACCTTTGTAAAATGGGCCAGTGCAAAACTGTAAGCAATAAAAAAAACAATTCACTTAAAAAAAAAACATACCTGCATATGAAGTGATTCTTAGCGCACTACACTTATAACCCACTGAAGGACATACTTTTAACGTGCATGTTGCTGTGTTTCCTGGTAAACACTTATGACAAGTCAGGCTGTAGGCTGGTAAAACACAAAACGGTTAAACTCAGTTAAAAACAAAATCTACATTTCTTTTCTTCAAGGTGTGGACAAAATTATTGTAACACCATAACTCTGAAGTAAATTAATCAAAGCGGTTAACTAATTTTATTATGAGAAATTATAAGCACAGCTACAAAAATGAGTTATACAGTATGAGGCTGGTTGTCATGTGCAGTTCTGACATGCATAGGTTTTTTCTTGGTCTTGTTTCTTTGTTTCTTGTTTTTTCAACTACAACTAAATAGAATAGAGGCTATCTGTGCACAAACTGCAGTTGATGAACAAAGAGGAATGGCAGTAACCAACAGTAAAATAACATGCAACTCTTTTTTGACATGTAACCTAAATGACCGATGTCTGCAGCATTTGTAAAGGTAAATGTGGTAATTGATAATTACAATCCCTCTTTTATTAAAGATTAAACTGTAAAAAAAAAAACGGATAATAGAACAAAAACTTGCCTTCAGAGAGAAGCACAGTCCCAAAGATCAGAGTAAGGAGATGCATTTTGCAATGGGGGGATGCAACTGAGTTTAGTTTGATCTGTTGCGGCTATAAGTATCCCTCCTGAAAAGGAGTTGTCGGTTTTCTGCATCATCTTATCAGTTGATTGCAGCTTATTACATTTTTGGTGCAATTTCAATTTTCTTATCAAGTGGCTGCTCGATGGCAAACTGACCGTGTTTGCCCCTCACTGTGGCAATTGCATGGTGAAACAACATGCATGCCATTTATTTCAAAGTAAAGAAGGCAGTTTTAAACAAACTAATAAGGATTTTTACCAGCATGATCATTGTTATGAAGAGGTAGCTGCATTTGTATCCTTTGTTTTGTAAAAAAAAAAAATAGAGTTTTAAATGCTAACTTTGGCTTATGTTGAGACTGTATTGGTTAATAAACTGTGGTGGTTTAAATATGAAGGTGTTTTATATTAATGCTGCAAAAAAATTAAATAAAAAAGTAGTGAGAATTACTTTTATTGACACCAATTTTCCTGACCTGTAAACTGTAAACAGTAGCAGATTATGAACCACAAATGCAAACAGTACTTCTTTATACCACTTCATGATGCAGCACTCAAAGTTAGTGAGGCTCCAATTCAGAAAAGTCACAAACATATGGTGGCACACACACACGCACATCATCAAGATGTTCCTGAATGATACAAGTTGGGCACTGAGCACTGCCTCTCTCTGCAGTAGAAATACAGATACCCTTTGCCTAATGCCCAATATTTATATTCTTGCAGTACTTTTACTTCACTGCATTTTTTGTGCATCCGTGCAAAAAAAGAAACATGGTGTGTACTGTGCTATGCATTCAAAATAGATCAGTTACCTGTCATAGAATACATGTAACACATAACAAATTAAACTAGAGACTATTTTTTCAACTGAATAACCAAATAATCTGAAGCCCATCTGCTTGTGACTTTTAGTTCCTTTAATAGTCTGTCCAATCCACAGTATTGTTATACTAAGTAATTAATTAATTCATATTGCAACAATGCTGTTTTCACAGCAGCCTGCTCCTTTAACAGTCCCCCAGGGCTGCTCCTTGGAAATGTCTATGATTGACCCTAAAAAAAGATGAAGTACAACACTTTACTTACTGGCTTATGTCACTGATAATGCAATTTATATCAGAATCAGAATCACTTTTATTGGCCAGGTATGTGTGCACATACAAGGAACTTGACTCCAGTTTTACGTTGCACTCAATGTATAAACACTGATTAACAGCATAAATAAACAGAACAACAAAAAAAGACAGAGACCTATATGTGCAGTTATACATTTCTATAAACAAACATTTGTAGACAGTAGACAACAGTGCAATGGTGCAGAGTGCAAAGGATGCTGACCTAATATTTTACATGCAGGTATCCTTGTGGGTGCGGGCGTGCGGGGGGGGGGCGCGGGCGCGGCGTGGCCGCGCGGGGTGTAAATGTCACAGGGGAACTAAGCGAGCAAGAGTGAGGACAAGACGCCGAGTGAACTGTCTGTCTGTCGGAAGACACGCCGCAGCTGAACGTGTGTCCTCCGACCTGGAGCCGCGAGTGGGAGTGGGCCGGTGGAAAGAGCTCGTCGTGTGCGCGGAGGTTCAGTCTGAGATACCGGTATGTAGCGCACTGATGTCAAATACGACTGGTTGCGTACTTATTAAAAACACATTTTAAGTCATCATCTGCACTGTTATTGTGAAACTGTCAGATGTGCAGAACACACATGCAGCGGAAGCAAACTGACAAGTAAAGTCAAAACTGAAACTCAAACAGTGATGGTTGGGCCATTGTAGTCTGCACGTGTCGAGGTGCACTGCGGCTGAGTCATGCGGAAGCATCATGTGTAGACAACACCAGGGCTGGACTGGGACAAAAAATCGGCCCGGCCCTCGGCTGTAATTGGTCCAGCCCAGAATCAATCATGACTAATGGGCCGATCTACCAGTTTTGTGTACACATAGCTTACCTCCTGTTTCCAGTAAATGGCACAATGACTATGACTGAATATTGGCACATGTCAGGGCGGACATCATACATGTGAAGTTTTGTTGAGATTGGACCATGTACACTGAAGTTATGACAACTTTCTGTTTCCAGAAGGTGGCTCTATGAGTATGACTGAATATGGGCACGTAAATGTGTTCAGAGCAGGACTCTTATCAGACATGTTAACTTTGGTGCAGATTGGAGAAAGTACACCGAAGTTAGAACAAATTCCTGTTTCTTTGTGAAACATTGTTTCTCAACCTCAGGCCACGGACACGCCCTTTGACAAAAACTAAAGATTTCTTAATTCCAAATGTAATCACTAATTTTGAAGTTGATCCAATTAATTCCCTAGAAGGAGCTATCAAAAAAGGAAATAGCAAAAAAGTTAAATTCAATTCAATTAAAAATGTCCGACTTCCTTTTGGGTCTAGGGTATGGGTCCAACAATTGTTTTGTACGTCTAGACTCGATACCTTTGCCTACTAATTTTCATACATGCCTGTGAAACGGGACACCAGGGCTGCTATGTTGAACTTTTCTAGGGGGTGCTAGATGTAACATGCCCATATCAGATGTAACATTTTACCATTTGAGATGTGTGTGCTGAGTTTCATGAGTTAGCCCACCAAAAATGCAATAAACTGTAAAAACCGATATGTCTACATTCGGCGTGTCGCCATGGCAACAGCGTTTAGTGAAAACTCAGAAGATTCATAACATTCATTAAAACGTCTTAAGGGTATTCTGACCAAATTTCAGTTTGATCTGGTCAATCTGCAAGGAGTAGAACATGCAAGTATAAAACACGACGTGATGGTGTTCAGATTATACTGGCCAAAATTGAAATCGATCAATTCCATAGAAGGTGTTCGTTAAAATACAACGTATATAAATTATATAAAAATCAAAAATGGCCGACCTCCTGTTGGGTTTGGGACATGGTCCTAGAGGTTTTTTTGCACGTCTGGACATGATCTATCTGTGTACCAATTTTCATCCATAGCAGTGAAAAATGCCGTTGAGGCTACTAGGGGGCGCTGTCGAGCCATTTTTCCATGCACATGGACCCATAGAATACATAATTTTTCACCACGACTGACATGTGTGCCAAGTTTCATGAGTTTTGGAGCATGTTGCGGCCGCCATAAATGCGATGATTGGTTGGAGAGAATTATCCTTCCTTCAGTTTCAAGGTCACTGCTCAGGCCCTAAATATGCATTGAGGACAGACTAGCTAACGTTAAGTCAAAACTATAACTCAGGAGCTCATTAAAGAAAAGGAAGGGTACATAGAAAGGAGCAGAGAGGCAATGACCAAATTTTAGGCGAAGACAAAAAACAGTAAACCTTAAGGTAACACTAAATCACTCACTAAACAAAACCAAAAATATATATATATATATTCTGCACTTTATAAGGCTATTGTACTGAATCCTGGCTAAAGAAGAATGTGGGCCTTTCAGCTTTTATTGTCATATTATCAGTAATTTCACACATTTCATTCAAATTTGTCCTGTGCATTTGACCCATCCTATACACTAGGAGCAGGCAGCCGTGGGTGATCAGGGAGCTAAATATGCATTGAGGTGGTGCTCCAATCAGAAATGTCCATGTTCACTACCACTAAGTTGCCCTCAAACTACCAACATAGTGGGATATATGCAAGTAGTAGAGGCAAACTATCGTGGAAAAGACATTCACTTGTCTCTGTCAGTCTTAATAAACGCCTTTCAGTGATTCAATAAGTATCCTAGAAAACAACATTTGTGTGCTGCTGTTACAGCTAGTTTTGGTCGCCTCCATCTTAGCTTGCATGTTATTTTCCTCGGTAATAGATGTCATTGCATCATGGATGGAATTAAAAAGGAAAATGTGTCAATTGATGACACACTTATTAATAGTGACGCCAGAGATGGGGACTCAAGTCGCATTTAAATTGCACACACAGTGACTTGAGACTCAACAGCAAGACTCGACTAGGACTCAAGAACAATCTTAATTTTATTTATTTGGCGCATTAACATTCAAGATTTCCCTTATGGAGTAAAAACATTCAAAAATACATTTCTTCTGAATGATGAAATTAACTGGCTCAGTGGTTTTATGAGATACATGTCAGAAGTAAATTTAAATGACACCAAGAAAGTTTTAAAAACACCCAAAGAAAACACAGAAATGAACT